CCGTCCGAGCTTCTGTCGGAATAGTACACTTCTTCCAACACTGGCTGAGCGTTCATCGATTGTTGTTGATTCTGTACTGATGTCAGATCGAGGACTGGTGGTCGTACGGGTTGCGCTGGTACAGCCTCCTGAATCTTGCGATGGGTAAAGGCAGGCTGTTCAGCCTTCTCCTTTGCCGCGATCACCGCCTCTAACTCTTTGATGAACGATGTCGTCAGTAGTACCCTGTTGTATTGAAGTAGTCTCTGACAGTCAAGGGTCGTGCAAACTTCCCCCCATGTCTTAGGCGGGATTGCCTGAACCCTAACCACATCCATGTTTCCGCTCTTATTCGCTTCAAGAATAATGTTGCGGGCCTCTTTATGTACGTCCAATGTCGATCGAGTCTCAACCATATGGAATAAGTAACCAAGTTCAAGTGTATAAGTGCAGTTCAATGTTCAAATGCTTTTGCTTTTCACGAGGAAAAATTATGATGATTGAATAATTAAAAACTCTTTAAGAGGGGAGACGGTGTCTCCTGGAATAAAAATCGGCCGGATTCTGGCCTCCTGGGATGTGTTGATAACTTGCCTTATACAAGGCCCGGATACGGGCTGCGTAGACCTCCAGGTCGTTTCTTGGATCCTCTCGTCTTTCGAGAGCTTGCCACAGCCTCATGTTATCCGTGACGATCACTTTTCTCGCCTTCTTATCAATAAAGTCAATCGCAGATTTGTACTTAGCTAGGAGCTTATAGGCTCCCTGTATTTCCTTGTACGAGGCTAAGTTTGTCGAAGTCTTCGTTAAGGGTATCGATTCTGCCATGACTTGCTGGTCATTGTACGTGACCACCATCCCTGCTTGTGTATCCGATGCGTCGACATAAATCGTTATCGTGTTGCCCTTAGAGGGTCTTATTCGTTCGATTTCCCATTGGGAGTCGACTGCATCAATTAAATCTCTGACCACGTTCGTTACGTGTTTCGTCTTAAGTAGTATTTGACGAATCTTCGTCAACGAGTTTCGAACGCCCGCCCTGTGGATCATTTTATAGTAGGATAATTGGTGCGTCGCTCGCGTTACGCTATCTACACATTCTGAGTGTAGTAGCTTCCTGATTTGTTCAGCTTTATCTTTGGGAATTCCAATAGACGTTTTAGTGAACTCGTATCCAAGTATCACTAATGTAGTATTCGTAGATGACTTTTCTTTATTAATCTTAAAGCCAAAG